TTCTTCAGCTGGACATTCCATCACACATTCAAATAAACAAAAATATTATCTGGAATAGAGTGGCTGGTAACAGCACCAAGTGCTCTAACTAGCAAGCAATCCATTCACTATCTGTCCACTTTATGATATTAAAACTAGCATTATTTCTGTTCATATGATCTCTGTGGCTATACTGAAAAATCTGTCAGGGTCCTGGGTAAATATCTTTGACTGATTCTAGTCTATAACTTATATTAGAGTAAGGTTCATCTAAAAGCTTGGTAGGATCAACTGACCCAAGACATATACTTGCTTGCTTGCTTCATTGATTGATTAACTAATTATGTACTATCACTTGGTGACAATTCTTGGTGATCACAGAGATCAGTTTCTCCATGACCATCTGTCCTTAACTAAGATAGGATACCTATTTCCCTTAACATATAAAATTAATATCATTAATTTGTCTTATTTTGTTGCCTTTCCTCTTATTTTAATTATTATTCATATTAGTGCTATGTGTACAAATCCATTCTTTTTTGACTGACCTCAAATTTTCCACTAAAACATAAATATTTCAGTACTTCAAAAATTAATTTCTTAGGCTTAGGAGCAACTACAGTATTTTCACATCTGGGGTTTATTTGGCTTAAAATGTAACTTTTCCCTCTCTCTTTTCTTCCTGCAGAACTATTACAAAATGAAATCATATATGCTGGCTAATTAGCAAGACTATATAAAAGATTTATAATGAAGCAGCTAAGACTTCAGCAACTTGAAGAATTCAGACAGATTTATGCCACTATATAAGGTAGCACTTGGCTTTGTTTTATATTTGCAACACCTGTAATAAACACAGTTAAGATTTCAATGATTTCTTTGTTTACCTTAAGTAGAACATTGGAGGTAATCTATCTCTACCAGTATGTGATTATTTTTTAAAAAATAAGGCATTTCCTCACATTACTTGGATATAGTCACCCTTGGATGAACTTCACCAAACCATAAATGCCTTATACTGTAAGAATAACAAGCCCATTGTGTGTAAAGTGGGGATACAAGCAACTGAATAGAGCTTTTGTAGCTGTGCATATAAGTAGCATTATGATATTATATTTAGTTTGATTTGCACAGATGTTTCTGATGAAAATCTGATATTATAACAATTCTAATAGCAGATAACATTTGCTGCACTAGAAAATACTTCAAAAGTATCTAATGCAACCATCTAGAAAATCTTTTACAGCTATCCTAACAGGCATGCCTGAACTGTAGTGCTCAAAGAAGGACAATATTGTTCAATGTTACTATATATGAAAAGTGAAATTGCTGATCTAAAGGTTCTGTTCCTTAACACTGAAAATGTTAAGGAAAAGTTCTGGCTTTTCTATATGCTCAAGGAATATTTTAACTTTTGCCATTAATACTGCCAAACCTACAACTGGATAAAAGAAGCTTTTTGATAATATAAATAAGCTTACCAAATCACAGCTTGATGAGCACTCTCACTTTCATTTTAGGAAAATTAAGAGAAAAAGTGATGTATTATAAAGTTTATTTATTATCCTAAAGTGCTAAATCATTAGAGGAAAGATAGATTAACTCTCCCCTCCCCCAAAAGGAAATTACTGTATTTTTATGGATATCTTGAAAGGAAATATCATTTGTGGTAGAATTTTAGTAACAGACATAAATTGTAATGATTTATAAGGTGCTTTTAATAAATACAAGAAAGCTTAACTTAGCTTTATAAATCTTCTAAAAAGAGAACCTTTGGAAACAGTAGAAATATTTATTTGTGCAAGAAAATGATTTTTTGTGTCCAGGTTTTGTCAATGATTGGAGAAGGGAGACTCAGAAAAACAGATGCAAGTAGATACAAGTGTTAGTTATATGTATAGATATGTAGTATTTAAAATCTATTGAAGCTTGTTTATTTGTGTGAAATGTGCCATTGTCAGAAACTGAAAAAAATGCAGCAAGGTCAGAATATGAGAGCGTGGGAACATTCCTACCAGATCAGATGTGATAGTCAGCTAGATGCTTTAAGAATGCCCTCAAACCGTGAAGAGTGATATAATAGCTTTTCCAGGACACTGAAAGATAAGATACGGTGCTATAGATTAGGCTTTTACTATTGGCATGGCTAGAAAGTCAATAGTGTAATTCAAACAGGTAACTAATAAGGAAAAAAAAAAGATCTAAACACTATTCTGATATCCTGTTAAAAAACCAGGGCCTGCTCTGTAATATAAATTAGTGGAGATGTTCACAGCATGGGGATAAAAATTCCAGACAGAGATCAATTTTCTATAAATAAACCAAGGGGGCTGATGATTCTAATTCAGGGGTGGGCAAACTACGACCCATGGGCCACATCTGGCCTGTTGGTCATTTTAATACGGCCCGCCTCTGAAAAAAAAAAAATTCCCCTCTGAAAAAAAAATCAGGGCCGACCAAAAGAGACCCCGCGCCGCGTGCCAAAAAATCGCACACACAACACAGAGCTGGGCAGCCACTTCCCTGGTGGCGGGGCCGAGGTTGCCGCCCGGGGAACGTCCACTGCTTTCCCTCGCCAGGGCCGGGCGGTGGCGTGTTGCCCTGCACCGCGTGGCCCCCGCCTGGCAGTGCGCTTCTCGGCTGGTCTCCTCCTCCTCAGCCATACAGAACAAACAGGCAGAGAAGGAGGAGACCAGCCGGCTGGTTGGGGGAAGCTTTCTGCGCCGAAAGAGGCAGCTACTAATCTCCGGCTTTGCTCCGCTTCTCCAATGGTCTGGCACCACCCTGTTCTATGCGCCGGCTGCTTGGACTTGCTGGGCCTGACACATAGAACAGGGCGGCGCCAGATGTTGGAGAAGCAGAGCGGAGCCGGAGATCATTAGCCGCCTCTTTCGCAGCACAAGAAGCCTCCCCCAACTGGCCAGCTGCTCTCCTCCTTCTCTGCCTATTTGTTCTGTACAGCCGAGGAGGAGAAAACCAACCGGCTGGTTGGGGGAAGCTTTCTGTGCCTAAAGAGGCAGCTACTAATCTCTGGCTTTGCTCCGCTTCTCCAATGGTCAGGCACCACCCTGTTCTATGCGCCGGCTGCTCGGACTTGCTGGGCCTGACACATAGAACAGAGCATGCTGCAGGCATCTCGCAATAAGCCCCAGGACATGTGGTCACCTGCTGGCTGGCTGGGCCAGGCCGGGCTGGAAGAGGCATGTTCCGGGAGGGCAGGTGCCGGGCAGGTGGGCGGATGTTCCGGGACCACTTAAAGGTCAACTTTAAGAGTGCCCCCATGGAAGAAGCCGAGCAAATGTAGTGGCGGCAGGGGTGACGGGGCATGTGTGTCCCTCCACAAGGAGTATAAAGGGAGGCAGACACTGCACCTCTCAAGAAAAAAGTAGGTGCCAAAGCCCTGGCTGTCACCTGGGAGAGGACCGTGCAGGGACCCATCACATGCCCTTGTTGCCCCCACCGCCTCTACTTTTGTTCTCGTTCTTGGCTTCTTCCATGGGGGCGCTCTTAAAGTCAATCTTGTGCTGACCCAGCCCATCTGTCAAATTTTAAAAGTCAATGAGGCCCCTGAGCCAAAAAGTTTGCCCACCCCTGTTCTAATTCCACCAATGCCTGGACTTCTACTGATAATGTTGGTAGTTTTAAACACTGAAAATCAATGTACCATTCTGCATTCTTCACTGCACCCCCTACTTTTTGTATTCCAGACAATAGCAGAATCTTGAATTTATCACATAAAAGTGAATAAGCCATGCTCATTTGGCTGTATTCAACTAGAAATTTAAGGTTAGCATCTTTTTCTAGAATCAGGATTGGATTGCATAAATCTTTGTGGCCATTAGAGGGCAGCAAAAAGATACAAAAATGCCATCTCATGTTCATTGTGATTTTTGTAGCCCAGTCTTACTCAGTGGTGGGATTTTTTTTTTTTTTTACTACGGGTTCTGTGGGCGTGGTGTGGCTTCGTGTGCATGGCTTGGTGTGCATGGCAGGGGAAGGATACTGTAAAATCTCCATTCCCACCCCACTCCAGGGGAAGGATACTGTAAAATTCCTATTCTCCCCCCACCTCACTAACCTGCTTTCCAGCTCCATTCTCCTATGAAAAGCAACAAAAGAAGATCCAGCCGATCAGCTGGGACGCAGAAGGCAGAAAATAGATGGGGCAGGGTCATTCAGAGGTGGTATTACGAACTACTCAAAATTTCCACTACCAGTTCTCCAAACTACTCAAAATTTCCACTACCAGTTCTCCAGAACTGGTCAGAACCTGCTGAATACCACCTCTGGTCTTACTCTAAACAATTGTTGGTAGTCTGTGCATTAAAAATATATAGACAATGAACATCCTGCCTAGATTATGGAAATCAGCAGTGATTATGGGCATTTATTAAGGCTGTATTTTTCTACACATTTTATTTGCTAATCAGATAAGCACTAAGGATATGAGGAATTTTCAAAAATCACTGTTTTTGCTTGATTGCATTTGCTTCATTTTGCCATAGACCAGTATTTTTCAAACTTGGCAAATTTAAGATGTGTATATCAATTCCCAGAAAGAGACTTCAATTAAATATAATGACCATACTAGATACTGTTTTAAGAATAGTTTGAAAACAGCCATGGTTCTAAATCAGGAAAAAAAAAACCTAAAAATAAAAATTCCAGTTAGATAACATAAATCTTTATCACTATTTTTCAATCTTGGTAATTAAGATGTGTAGACTTTAGTTCCAGAATCAGTCAGCATGCTAGACCACTGCTTTAGAGCACCTCTTTTTTCATTGTACTCTGTTGGACAAGAAAAATACAAATGGCTGTTTGTTAAATTGGAAGCCTTATCTGAATATGTCTTATCTGTCTGACTCAACTCTTGGCTTACCACTACACAATTTCTTCTTTCTTAAACCTCCCAAATACAAAAAACTAGAGTTTAAGTAGCATCTCCTGCAAAATCAGCATATATAAAAGCAAGAGTAGGGGTGCCCATCGCATATATTAAAAGAAATCAAGATGATTACCTCCACAGTATGATGAAGGCTTTGCCCACAAGTTAAAAAGAAGAACATCCATAGAATATAAGGGCAGGACTGTTAAATGCTGCCTCCAATCTTAAAACAAAAACAGATTGTTAAAACACCATTCAAATGCAGATAACTGCATTTGGCATATATAGCAAACCAGCTGTTGAAATACTGTAGGTCTTTTATTCTTAATCTTACTATTTTGGTAAGAGCTGAGTTTTTGGAGGTAAATATCTAAAATAAAAGAGAAATGATAACAACTTCAAAAATATCCCCTTGTTAAACAAGGCAACTGAAACCATGACAAATTATGGCCAAACTGTTAGATTTAAAAAACAAAATATTCTGCTATGGATATCAATGTGTGATCTATTCGTTTTAATATGTCTAAATAATGTGCTAACTCATAAGTAAACCACATTGTGAAATTGTTGTTCTCACTTTTTTTTATAAAGCATGCCACTGTAAATCTGGTGTGTCATTTTTAATGACACCCTTCTTCTTGAAAACTGAACCCATAGAATAGACTTCTAAAATAACAAAATAAAGTATGTTAGGCTCCTGTCCTCCTTGAGTTAAAAAAGAGTGTTATAACATAGAAATATTTTATAAAATTAAACTTCACATCTTTTAAAGCAAGAAAAAAAAATATTGAATCCCAGGATCAGTAGATTTGATAGCAATACACAAAGGTTGTTAAGGAACAGAAATATAGGAGACCTCAACACTGGAAGAGACATTGGCATAAAACAATGCAACTGAAATATTTTGATTATAATAAAGTGAACTATTTTTGTCCTAAATGGAAAATATTTCTATCATTTCTCCAAACCTGTTTCTCTTAAGGAGAACTCTAAATTCTTGACATTTTGTAATTTCAGGTATATTTATACATCATATTGGGTGTAACCAATTTAGTGTTTGGTCATCATCACTATTTCAACTGACTGCTATCCTTGATCAGATTTTTTAAAAAAAATATGTTACTGGAATTGGCATTGCATAATTCCTACAAAGCCAAAGTCATTTTTTGTGTCCATTTTACACCTGATTCTAGCGTAGTTGATTTATATGCTACTAAACTCTTGTTTCTGTAATCCTTACAGTAGCTAAAGAAAACAGTGCACCATAGTGTAACAATTTTTGAACCATGAAACTTCAGAATGCATTCAAAATCCAGGACTCCCGGAAAAATGCTTCAACTGCTAAGATCATGTGATCCTTGATTTAAACGTTCTGTGACAATATCCCAGCCAGTATATCAATCCCTCATTCCCTCCCCATTCAGCAGCATCCACTTATCTACCAACAGAAAAAAGGGGGGAAGGGAAAGAAAAGGGGAGGGGTGGGAAAGAGAGGTGGATGGGGAGGAAAGGCAAGCAGGCAGGCAGGAAGGAAGGCAGGAAGGAAAGGAGGGAGGGAGGGAGGGAGGCTCCTTGCCAGCTTCCCACAAGAATCTCAATGGGAAAATCAGCAGGGAGTTGGAAGCACTTGCACTACCATTGTTTTTTTTATCAACTTATGGTCATTACGTTTCTTTGTTTAGATAAGGAAATGTCTCTGAAACAGAGTTCTCTAGTTCCGATTAAAAACAGATTTCATTTATTCTTCTTTCTAACTACTGAAGGAAAAGATGTTAGTCATTTAATTCCAACATCTGTGGTTTGATATACCTGCATCATGTCTCCCGCTATCAAATACTTTAAAAAAAATTATTTATTTATTTAGCTTATGGCAAATACATGGACTTATAGTGGTTCAAATGTTAATGTCCAGTCCACCCAACCATTCAAGGACAGGGAGGTCTATGTTGAAAAAATCAGACATTTTCTAGAAATGATGACATTAAAAAATGCTTTAACATACTTTAGAAACCATGTATACAATTCTGTTAATTGTACTTTTATAGTACTACAGTTATTTTAAAAATATGTGAAATCCTGGAAAATTATCTTAGACTAGTCCTCAAACTCATAATAATATGAAGTAAGAATTAGAAACTATTGATTATTTAGAAGTTGAATAATCTGCTAGATTTGAGGTAAACACAGCAACAACATTACTATGAATATAAAAAAAGTTATATTTCTGCTCAATTGCAGAAAATTGTTTCTTTCCTTCCCCTCTTCTTTCCCCTGTTTAACCTAGAACTCCTTAGACTATTTAATTTTTTTCTCCACAGAAACACAAACAGTTAGTTACCAGTATGTTATGCTCATCCATTTCTGTCTGTAACCCAGTCAGGGGATTTTGAAAAGGTGGGTATGGAGTAAAAAAACAAACAAACCAGTTTTATGAACAGAGGGCACCTCACCGTTCCTCACAAGTTGCAATTGTAACCTATATGTAGAAAAGAAGGCCTTTGAGTTGTGTCCATTATTTTGCTGTTTTACCAATCCCTGAATATCTCTGGAACTAACATTTTTGCTTTGTATGTACTGATTATCTTTTAACAGAGTCACATGAAATACAGCAATCCAAACAGGTTGCTATAAAACACAAATAACTGCCACCAGTTTACCTTTCAAAGCTAAATTTGAATTAATGCCATAGCCAAACTTTTTTTAAAAAATTCAGAAATAAAAGCTTTGATAAAGTATTTATCCAACAATGTTCCTAACTTGTCTGAACTGAATTTCAAGTAAAGGAATATAGTCTATGGCACAATTTGGTCTATGACACTATTTTGGAATTTCTACAGACTTGCATGAATGAGTATTACATTCAGTTCCAACTATCAATATAAACAATGTTCAATACATTCTATATAGGATTCTATAAAAGCTGAAAACCATAGATCCTTGAGGGAAAAAAATAGAATAGAATAGAATGAAGAGTGAAAAAGTAAAGATCCAGCAGAATTTGCAGGTTGAAAAAAGGGAAAGAATTAACCTAGTGCCACAAAATAAGCCATCCCTCTTTTACAAATGAATCAACTTTATATGTTTGAATAAAACGGGTGGAATTTATAGTGCAATGCTATGTTCGTCACCTTATTTCTTTCTTTTCTTTTCTTTCTTTCTGTTTTTTTCTTTCCTTTCTTTTTCCTTCCTTTCCTTTTCCTTCATTTCATTTTGGCGTCACCTGACTCCAGAATCTGTCCTTCTCATGCTGTAAAAAAAAACAATTGCCTGCATCTATTCCCACCACTTTTTATAAATGTTTTCAGAAATGTGCACTGGCATTGGAAGCTTAAACAGAGCAAAGAAACCTGAGTATTACAAATTGAATGCTTATTTCTTGATATTTGCTTTTATAAAATGTCCAGGGAATGTTGAATTCTTCCATATTAAAAATTCTACAGACTAAATTAAATCATATCTTTTGTTTTGAGAAAGCTAAAGAAAGTGAGATGGTGTCAGAATCTGATATGGTATGATTATTTTACAGCAGAGCTACAACTTTACCATTGCTTTTTTCCCCTAAAAGTTATTGCATGTGTCAATCAACATATGCTTTGTTTAACTTTCCGCTGCTTTCATTTTCAATCATATTGCTTTTGTTAATTGGAGTGTGATTGCTTTGTTTTTTTAAAAAAGATCAAAGTAAATAAAACTGTTGTGCTATTGCAAACATAGTAAGAGGAGTATTTTTTGTAATCCTGTCTGATCAGAGGGCTGCTCAGCAGACTAAACAAGATACTGCTGAGTTCATATTGTACAGATGTACCATTCTTACACTGTTAACCTAAGTGATTTAGAGTCAGATAATTGGATGGAAATATCTCAGATTCACAGATTGTTCTTTGTAAGATATCATCTTTTTAGAGGTAAATTTAATTTGTTCTCTGAACAGCAAAATTTTATACATCTCAAAATGCCAAAGTCCCTATATATACTCCAAGGGATTGCAGTTCTCAACAGTCACTAAATGGAGAAAATTGATAGAGAAGATTAAATCCATTTTTTTTGCAACATATAGTAGATCTGATAGTACTTGCTGCTCTTGGCCACCAGTATTTTGAATTTTATCCAATGACAGAAAAAGAAAACCCCAAACATTATTCCCCGACTACCATACTTCCAAATTAATGCAATTTTACTTTACAATTAATTCAAAATATTAGGGATAACATTTTTATGCAAGTGACATTTCTTGAATACTGCTGATTTTCCATTACAAATATAAATATTAATTTTGGATCTAAGCACCTTCAAAACATTTTTAAAAGTTTCTTCTGATATATGTAATTAACAGATTTGCTGAGCTTTCTGTGACCATTATAAAAGATGATCTCAGTCCCAGCTCAGTAGCTAACTTTCCATTACATATTTTCTCATTTATTTGTTTGGAAACTATTGTTGATTATCATAATGGCTATGCAAAGGTACAATTGCAGTAATCCTTTGACATATCATAAGGAACAAGAGTTTCTAAGGTAGAAGATTGGCTTACTGGGGCATGATTAGATCAATCACATTAATAGTTTAAAAACAAATATTTAAGAAAGAAAGAAAAACTGCCAACTGGAAGACAATTGCTGGAAGTGGGAAGCCATGTGCCAGGAACTGTAGCCAATGGGACCTGAGGCTGCTACTAGCCTGGAACACCATTGTGGAGACTGAAGAGTTTAAGACTGCTTGGAGTAGAAAATGATGGTTTTGAATTAAATCTGGAAAAACAGCTGCAAGGGGCATATGTAATGGGCTGGTGCTAAGGGGACTATCACATCATGTCTTCTTTACTTAGGAAACTACTATGATGGGCCAAGCAGAAGGTGCAAATATGCCCAATGTCTAAGAGTTTGTTGTAGTTGTAGCCCCTCACTAATCTTATTGTATTAAAACAGAAAAGTCTGAAGGAATTTTTATTAGAGTTTGGACTCTGTGGGCAGCCTCTTTGTGATTGTTTTTCTGAAAAAAGACCTTCTGCAATTTGGAGGAAAAATGTATTTCAATGAAAAAGGCATCGAACTTCTGCATATCTTACTTTTCATCACTACAAAAAGAGGTGCTGAGGACAGAGATCTAAAGTGTGCATGAATGTAGCTTATCCTGCATTCTTCTCTTTTTCTTTCCAATTTGAACTTTAGAAGCTCAAAAGAGATCACTATAACACAGAGGCTTTTTGCCTAATAGCATGACCTC